TCAGGCCATCGAGTACGCGGCATGGGGAAAGGCCAAACAGTTGGCATGGGACAGAGGATACGATTCCGAAGGCAAGACATGCTACATCTGCTACTACGATGCCGGGAACTGCGCTTATGCTGGTTTCATGAGAATGCTTTTGACTCCGGAAGAGCGCCAAGAATGCTACAGAGGGTCAGCCTTGCCCAAGGAGGAACTCCTGGGTGACACGGTGGAGCTGGCGCTCGGGCTTCTTACAATTGCAATGAGACACCCAAGTCATTTTCCGAATTGGGGTGGCCTTGAGGGAGCAAATGCGTGCGTGAGGGGAATCGAAAGATCATTCTTCCGCTACGCGTCGGCCGAAGCTATCGAGCTGATCACGGTTGACTCCCCGCGCAAAAGGACACCGCCCAAGAAGAATGAAGCAGTCGCTGAGATCGTCAACAACATGTCCGCTGACCTCGTGATTGATTTCACAGTGATCGTCGATGGTGATATCTACCCCGTAGAGATTGCGAGAACCGACGAGACACAGGCCGCTGACAACGTCACGGACGATCCAGGGTTCTCCGTTGCTCCACCAATACCTGCACAGGATGTAGATGTGGATGCGCAACCCGAAGAAGAACAAGGTGCAGAAGGCCCTGATCCCAGGCAGGCGATTCGTGAAGGATTTGTCGCGCAGCTTCAGGACTATGTGGGAGTGCTCGCTCAGGGCGAAATGTCGGTCGGAAGCGACCGCCTCACGTTCTGTATCGCTTGTGGCAGTGATCTACACACTCTGTCCAATTGCACGGAAAATGCTGCAACCCGGGATCTGGTACTTCGAGGCATCCAGATCATCAAGGAAAGCCTTCTTCGATATCCACGTCGAGTACCTCCACAAGAGGCTGAGCCAATGGACGTTGACACCACAGACCATGTGAGTGTTGCATCCTCGGACCGACGACCCAAGGCCAAAGCCCGACCGCGACGCGGAGGCGAAGCCGTACGGGGTGATGTGGTCTTGATCCGTTATGAGAACAAACACAATCTCTGCACGGATGTGGAGAACCGTCGGGGCCTACATGATGCTTGTGGCGTACCACTGCAGGAATCGGGACCAGAGAATAGCCAGCGGGTGGTGGACCTCATTGAGCAGCTTTCGGACCATCGCGACCGACGCCTACCTCAACGAGGAGACCGTCCTAGCTTTGCTTATGATGATACCACTCAGGGCTACACCAATGCAGGCTATGAATGCATCGGCGGCGGAAGGCCAATCCGGTGCGGAATTCTCGACCTGATCCCGACCAAGGGTGCAAGCTTCATCAACAATCGATGGGACATCGTGAACGAAGTTGTCCTTCGCAACATCACCCGTCAGCGCAGAATAAACGCGGATTGGGCGCTATCATGCATCCAATCGGACCTGCGTCACAGAATCGCCAGGCGCCCAGGCTCGGAATGGCTTGACAACAGGTGCCAGGTGGCATTCAGCAGCGTCATTCGATGTGATGAAGGAGGGTGGGTGCTGATCGAGGACTTGGTGAGGCATGAGCAACTATGGACCCATGAGAGCAGACGCATCACCGAAGCGGTCTCAAGGACCGATGAGCAACAGAGGAAGAGAGTGTACAATGAAAGACTTCAGCTATTGTTCCAAGGGAACATGCTCGCAGCCACGAAACGCCACAAGGCCAAGATTCGGTTGCAGTTCCTGGGAGTGAGAGTGAAGGACCCCGGCACGGAAACTCTTGGATCAGCAGGTTCGAACATGTTGGTATCGGTTCCTGACCAGATCACGGAGATCCAGAACAATGATCGTTGCCGGCACAACCAGAGGTACCTGAACGTTTGCAACGGCTGGGTGAAGCCATGGGCAGTTCGGGCTACAAGTGGTCACTCTGCGCACTCAGATCCCCAGAACAATTTGCTTCAGTTGGACAAGAACAGGTTCGCAATATCTCCATCTATGACCCTCTTGCAACGTCTTGGAGGCGCGTTCCACGCTACGGCATGCCGCAACTTGGATTCCATTGTCACGCAAGGCATCATGCCTGGTTCGGAGGACCCCGACGGGGACTTCGACCATAGGCGCCAATTTCGAGGCAACCAAGGCGGCAGACTCCACAGCTATTGGGGGGTGTTTGCACCGTTCGATCACCGGAATGCGACGACCAAGATGCGGGTACATGGACGAGATGCCAAGCACATGCCACTGGCGGTCCTTCATGTCCCATCGCAGGACCTTGCACGAGAAGATGGACGTATCACAGACAGCGGCATCATGATCGTTGGCCGAACGATACCGTTCCAGTTCGTCAAGGAGGTATGGTTTTGCGTCCCGGATCCTCAAGATACACACTCTTTCGCTCTGGTGGAAAAGATCTACGATGAACGGTTGGAGAAAGAGCTGGTGTTGGACTACAATGCATCACCATTGCTCCCTGAGTTCGAGAGATACCGAACGCCGAGCAAGATCATGGAATTGCTTTGCGAGATGCCTCCTGGACCCCACGACACCAGCAAGGAGCAGATCATTCGAGACCTTACGACTGTCCTGGAGTCCCACAGGGAGAACACGGTTCGGCATCACTACATGGACAAAGGGATCAAGTTTGTCATCAAGAATTGGCGACCCGAAGACCTACGCAGAGACGAGGATGGAAGGAGAATGAGGGTGTGCCCGGCATGCTACAACATCGTTCCAGCATGCTTCTCCCGATGCACGTCTTGCTGGTCACAGTTCGTTTCTAGCGGATATTACCAAGGTTCTCCACAACGGGAGACTCCTACGGAGATCCCCAGTGACTTCATTGCTCAGACAATGGAAGCCGCGGCAGCAGCAGTGCCTGAAGCGCCCGAAGAGGAGCAGGAAGCCATGGAGGTAGAGACCGTTGCGGAACCTGAGGAAATCCCAGAACCATCTGTCATCGCGGAGGACGATCCAGAACAGGAACCTGATGAAGAAATGGACATAGAGCCAGGAGAGGACTTTGATGACGCGGTACCAGATGCAGTTGCACAGGAACGCCGTCCCGTCTTCATTACCGGCCAGTCTTTGAACATCGATCCTGAGTTACAACTCGCACGTACCGCCATGCAGCCATCCTACTACTCAGGGAAGCGAAATGCCCATTGCATCGACGCCAACATGGTCGCTCTTTCGTATATGGCTTCCGTGGTATGCAGGACCATCTACAAGGCTTGGTCAGGCTTCGCGAAGTGGGCTACTATGCCGTTGTTTCAGATGAAGGAGAACTTCGCACTTGGCCAACGCTATGATGTGCTTGGAAAGTGGGGATCATTGGCTGTAGTGGACAGAGAGACAGGTGTGAGCAGGGATGTGACTGATGAGGAAATCATTCGCTTTGCCAAGGAACCAGAGAACCTCAAGCAGTACGATCCCAACGGGACTTACACTTTGAAGCGCTTCCGGACGAATCAGATGCTTTCTTTGCTTACACGGGGAGCCAACATGATGGGAATTGGCAGGGACAACTTCAACCCTACTACGTACTTGAAGAGCAAAGGGATGAAGATGTGAAGGCTATGCACTTTTGTTGCCTGAACGTCCTGTGCGAGGTGATTCCGATGGTGACAGGACACCAACAATTCTCAGTGCTACGACCAACGCCAACTGGACCGGTGGACTTCTTGTACATCGACCCCGTCGGTATCCTGCTGACTCATGCCGATCATTCAGTCCAGACCATCGGATTGCTGGTGGACCACAATGTGCAAATGCCTGCGCATTTCATGGACAGATTGAACAGATCCAAGGCTGAGAGACAGCAAAACCCGACGACCAAGCGTACTGAAGCCCTACACCACATTTCGGCCGCTGACTATCTCCCTCCAGGTGGTACTTCCATTCTGGACACGCCTGTCACAACGGAGGAACGTGCAAGCGCTTCTTCGACCAAGGGACCTTCAAAAGGGCGTGAGAGAACCGGAGGTGAACAGCATGGAGGCTGGAACGCCAACACCTACTATGACTACACCGCGGCAAAGGCCGAAACAAAGGCAAGGACAAAGGAAAGCAAAGGGAACAGTATCCAGAGGAAAACCTCCGGCCCTGGGACCGCGATCCTGCGACCACGCGAAGATGGAGATGAATCAACGCTTGGTCTTCCTCGCCTATCAGTTCGTGACCTCTGAGCTTCGCCCATGGAATGCCATCGCGAATGCTTCTTTCTTCGGTGACGCCTGATTCGTTTGCCATTTCAGGGGATCGTTACTGACGTAGATGAGTGTCACAACGTTTCTAATTGGGATGCAAAGCTCTGATTTTCAATGTCAACGTTGCGGCGGAACATTTTCTGTTGTCCTATCGTGCCATCTTCCGGGTGAGCAGCGTCGGAGACGCAACTCATGGGGGGTGCGAACGGACTGCGATGCCTTGTCAAGTTCTAAGGTGTCACTATAAGAGCTGTGAGCAAGACCGTGTAAAGTGCAAGAGAAGGGGGCACGCTACGCGTCCCTCGACTCTAAGGGGGCACGCTACGCGTCCCTCATCTTTACCTTTCTATGTGACCGCCCACGCAACGTTTGGCTCAAGTCAATGCCCATAGCTAAGTGCTATATGTGTCTTCTATCCTGAGCAATCAGAGCTATCCCGTTGCACAGACGAACCGCCGCCGGCAGTGAGTGCAAAAGGAACGGCCGCCGGTTCTGCCTGCATAGGATTGCACGTGTGGAAGTGTAAGAGAGACAGGGTCCAGTCTGTGGAGAGTGCAAGCCAGCCACACCTACATTCATTACAGCTCTGGTGGGGAGAGCAGCAACCTAGTCGAGATCAATCCCCCACGCAGTTTTCGTGGTGGGTTTTATGGTGTTTTCACAAGCTTTTCACGGCATTGTTGCTTCGTCCTGGATTCATCTGGTGGCAAATGCGGTTCCACTTGTCTGGACGCGTTTGGACATGCCCTGCTGAAGGCAGGAGAGAGGAAATTTTCAGCCCACCAGGTAAAGTGGACTAGAACCCACCAGTTAAACGAGGTGGTGGAAGCCCAGGGTCTAGAGCCGCGTGTCAGGTCAGACAACAGCGTCTTGGCCTTGGCGGTGGAGGTGTCGAGCGGAAAGCTTGTAAATCGTGGACTAGCCAGCCGAGTCTGCTGCAGGACTTACCATGCACTCCCAAGCGCTGCAAAGGCGGGATGCATGGTATGCAGCGCATCTTCCATGCCTTAATTGCAGCACAAAAGCAGGACCTCGGATGGGAGGATATGGCTACTCCCGAGAAAGTAGCCCTGCCCAGCGCTGAGTTGCATGGGGGGACGGGGGGCGAGGGGTGGAGGCATTGTCTCACACCTTGAAATCCTCATGTCCCTGGGTCCTTGCTGACGTCCTAATTGATTCAGCAGCCGTCGCTGCCTGAGTTTGCAAGCCTGTGCTGCTTAGTCGCAGTAGCATTGAAGATGATCACTGACAACAGTCCCAATGTTCATCAGCAGCGGGAAAATGATGATGGAACAGCTCACTCAACTGATCCGGGGTCTTGAGCCAGCTGCACAGGGTGGAGGGGAGGCAACTGAGTCACACAGTGGTATAAATACAAATGGTTCGGTTCCATCAGCTTCTGCTCTATCGGCTTTGCGCTTTGTCCATCGAGGCCCTATCACCCTGTACTCTATACTCTACTTGCTCTCATTAGCCTGACCGGATGCGTGTCAGTCAGTGTCAGTCGTCGGACAACCTTGAACGTTCGCCTCCCGTGCTGGCCTCAACTTCATTGTTTACCGTGGTACCATGAGCCAGGTACGCAATTGATTGTTTTTTCGTGTGGTCGGGAGAGCGAACAAGGGGTGAAATGCCAAAATGTGCGAAGGTTAGTCCGTCCAGGTTTCCGTGCGCTCTTGCTAAGATTGGGTTTCTGCTGCTGTTTCCTACTATCCGAAAGTATCGATGAGCAATCTCTGGAATGCATAAGTGTGATGGTTGGCAATGTATGTTTCTAATTCTTTCTAGCCCAAACCCATCATCGTTCAGCCGAGATGCATGACCAAATTCAGGTAGATCTGGGTCATATGATCCAGCGATTGTAGTGGAAGCAGGAATAGCAGCAAAAGTAGCTGCAACAACATAGACAAGCGACAAGACTTGTTTCAAGCTATCCGAGTAATATCAAAGCCTGCTGCAAAGGTTCAACGGCCCTGATGACGCACCTTGGCTCTTTGGCGCCCACATGAAGGACCCCCGCCGCGATGAGAAGGACATGCACTTTTTTTGGACCGGAACGCTGCATTGCCTACAGGGGATCTGGCACACCTCGATTGTGGTGGATTGGGGGCCAAGGCGTGGAGGCCTTAATTGTTTTGCAGCCTGCCCACTTGCAGCGCAGACACTGCGTAGCATCGCATTATGCGGCGCAATGGCTGAAACAGCTGAGTTGTCGAGTACTATTTGGACGGCTGCCCTTGTTGCCAGATAGGTGAGGGGCCCCTGACTCAGTTCAGCTCAGTTGTACTCTTCGCCAATACGCATTGCCGCATGGTTTGCTGACAGGAACACACCGTGGGGAAAAGCTGACGAGAAGAGGTCCTCCTATAGTCTTGTTAGCCATTTGTGCAGTGAGCCGCCAATCCTCTGTGCACGGCGCAGGTTTCTGGGCTACATGTCCAAGACAAGACGTGAAACGTTCGATTTTGTGAGGCGTGCTTCCACGGTCTGCAGACCAAATACGCTGCCAACAATTGCCAACGGCTTTGCTTGGTTACTTGGTTTGTCCAGGGTGTTACAGGTAAGCCATTATTAGTTGCCGGTGTAGTGCCACGTTGGATATTGACTGCTGCTGGGTGTAACATCAAATGATCTCGAGCGCCAGGTCTTGCGAACAAGACTTTGCGGAAGAATCCTACCACTTATTGCGTTGGCCTCGGTGTCGCGAGCTTGCCATGATGTGCGGGCACGAAAATGCAAAGCAATCAACATGCTCCGTTCGCTCATAGCATTATATAGCGATGGAGCAGGGACCACGGCAACGGGCGACTGTTCAATCGTAAAGAACAGAGTGTAGCCCCAGCAGCTTCCCCCCTAGAATATGAACAAAATGCAATCGTGAGGACCTGCTATTATGAGACACTCTGAAAGCTTCAACTTCTGACCGCACTATCCGAAGTATTTGCCTGTTCGTGAAGGCCGGGGAAAAGACCCGAATCGACCCAGAGGCCCAGGGCCCATGACTGTTGCCTGATGTTTGAGTTTATGATCTTCTCGGCTGAGTTTTTGAGTTGGTTGATTGCTTGAATTTTTTCACCCCTTGGCGATGGTTATGATCCATGAGCTGGTTCCTTGAGAGGTTGTCCGACTGATGCAACGCAGGACTTTTTCGTACGGAGCTCAGCAGGTTGTGAATGTACAGAAGACCATTTCGCTCGCACCACATCGCACATGTCAGCAGCGGGCACAGAGTGCGAGATGAGAGTGTGCAGAACTCCACTAGGTCACGAGGCACTGCACAAAGGCAGCCGAACAAGCACGCACCCAAGGAGCATTGGTCACGAGCTCGAGATTTGCTCCTCCTGCGGTGGCAACTATATTCAGGTCTGGTTCAGGGGGCAGGGACAGAGCAGAGCGACAGAGATTGATATCGAGGTTGAGAATGGGAGTGAGACGAGAGTGATCAGCCACACTTGCTTGGTGGATTTGGTTGTGCCTCCGTAGGCACGCGATAAACAAGAAAGCATCTGAGACTCGAGATGCCACTGTGCTCCAGGGCGCAACAGAGAGGAGGGAGGATCAAGAGTGAGCCACGAACGCGGGACATGGCAGGGAATCTTCGCCGACCGGACCACAACCGGCGTGGCTTTGGCGCTGGATCCTCACCGCAATTTTTGCAAGACGTTGTGAGACATTTGGCATCATCGGGCCAGGGACTACTCCGGTTCCCATGATGGGAAGGCAAGGATATTATCAAATGTGTGCAAAAGCTGATCTGGTTTCGGGCCGTTGCTTGCCAGGTAATTCATGGACTATATACGAACGTCCTCTTCAAGGAGTCCCTTCTCGACATGTGGCTTTCGATGCGGGGTCTTTGATGCTGCGGCATTCGCAGGAAGGTCAGCGCATCTCGTTCGCACTCGACACGGGTGAGGTGCGGCCAGCGGATGGCTTTGGGGCCTTCGTCGGAACTTGTTAAGGTCTTGTTGGTCTCAACTTGAAGGTGGTTGCAGGCTTAAAGAAGTCTGAGCGGCGACACTGGTGGAGACTGAAACTGCAACAAGTTGAACTCTGCGTGCACGGCGGCACCCCGTGTGTTTTTTTTGACAAGCTCTGACCGCTCACGAAGCTTGCGCAACACACGGCCCATGGCCTCCCAAGGGTCCTCGCTACCAAGCCAAGAGTGCCACTGGGATTCCCTGATGTGATCATCACATTTGTCAGGGTATCTGGCATTGACACCATGACATGAGCGCTTCAAGTGCTGCCAGTAGCCATCCATGGCCTGCGTTCCTGCACAAGTCTTCTTAGTGCGGCCGTTGACGTCCTTGTGGTTGCAGGCTTTCACGAAGAAGGGTCCGCCCTTCTGGGTCGAGTGGCAAACAGTATCGCGTCTGATTTCTTTGTCATGAACCTGGGTCTCATAGGCTTGGGCCCCGTCAACATGAATAATGGTCTGAGATGCCACATGCTTCGTACAGTATGACTTCCATTCCTCACAGCTGAGCGGAGGCGGGCTCGCAAAGCCGGTCTTCTTGCGCTTGCTCAAGGAACGTTCGAAAGGCCTTTTCTCCAGCACTAGAGAACGTTTGACTCCTCGTTCTTTGGAGCCTACCCAACCTTGCCCGGCCACTTGGTTCGCCACAGACTGCTTCCGCACAGCGCGCTCGTCCGCTTCTACCTCCTTGTAGTCACCACCCTGGCTCTTGGACTTCCTGACGCCTGTGGCATTTGGTTCCTGGTGTCTTCCTCTCTTTCTAGGACCCTGACTTGGTCGCTCCTCCGCTCTCAGATCCGCAGGCTGGACCTGTGATGCCTTTCCTGCACCGGACGTGTTTCGCCCCAAACCATGCAATGGAGGGAGCCACCTCCTCCCTTTACTGTTTCGCCCCACAGATGACTGGAGCCATTCTTCTGTCCTTGTTTGCGCCTGCTGCAGGCTGTCTGTGACCGCTACTATTATTATTATTACTACAACTACTACTACTTCTACTTCTACTTCTACTTCTACTACTTCTACTTCTATTTCTACTTTCACTTCTACTTCTAGTTCTACTTCTACTTCTGCTCCTACTACTACTGGTCCTACTACTACTGCTACTACTACTACTACTACTTCTTCTTTTTCTTCTTCTTCTACTACTACTACGACTACGACTACGACTATGAACGACGACTGCGAGTCTGAGGGTTTGTGGTGTCTGTGTGGTGTTGATGGGGGCAGCTTTAATGGAATTCGGTGATGTTGCACGAAGTGGGTATTAAAAGAACGCACGGGGCTTACGACGCTATACGCAGTCGGGCAAGCAATTTTCGCACTGAAGCTTTCCAGCTTTGCAGCCATGGCATCCTTAGAATCCGAAGCCGCATCTCGCAGACAATCATGCCGAGCCTGTTTGTCAGGTCGTGCCTGCTACTGGCGCCCGACGCGGCACACGCGAAGGAAACATGGTGAATCAAAAAAGTTGGCCACGCATTGTGCTTCCATGGATGGAGCGTGGCGGTCATGTAAGACGACGCCTGCAATCAACCATTTTGAATTCCCGTGGAAGCAGGCTGCATGTCTTTCTGATAGTTGGATGTATGTCGTTATGTTGGTGACTACTTGTATGTTGGAGTGTATTTGGATATGCTGAGATCATGCTTCGTGGGTCAATGCTCGCATGTGTAATCGGCATTCGCTGTGTCATTTTTTGTGATGCAGTTCCCTCTCGCTGGCCCGGAGGTCTTTGCCGAACCTAGCCGTAGCACCCGCGTTGGCATTGTGGGGTGTTGTCAACTGGAGGATGATAGAAAAACTTCTTTTTGAGTTGCCACAGTGCTCCGGCCGAAGTTTTGTCTGTGTAGGCGTGATTGGAGTTGACTGTACGGCTTACACAGTGTTGCATGTATGAGCCTGGTAAACTTCGTTCAGTTGTAGTACGCAACAGTTTCACATCCCATCAAGCGGCGTCGAGATTAGATGGGTAGGGTTGCCTTAAAGATACTTCCTTCAGCTCTTCACAACGTGTTCACCCACCCGGCCCTGAGCTTTAGCATTTAATTGAAGACCTCCTTGGCTTGTAGGGCCTGAGTCCAAGCGTTTGAGACCGAGCCCGGAACTCCGAACCCAAAGCCTTGCCTTCTCCCAACAACTCCATGCGTTACAACTTAGCAGTAATTTTCCCACCGCCATGGCCAGTGGATCCAAACAGGACAACGATGGCAGAGAAGGTGCCAACCTTTGTCAGCAAGGTTTTGGGCAAAGATTTGCCACGGATCGACACATGGTCCTTGCTTGTAGCATTTGCAGACGTTTCTTGGACACTCAGCCTCGAATCCCCAAACGCTGAGTTCTGAAGCCATCCTTTGTTAGCAACGTTGTTGGCAAAGGATTTACAACGCTCGACCCTGGCCCCTGCTTGAAGCATTTGCCGACTTTTTTTTGCGCGCCTAGCCCCGAAATCCAAAACCTTGAGCTCTGAAACCATCTTAAGCCGTGGAGCCCCATAGACCATAAAAACGCCCCAGCCTCGAGCTTTCGATTTAGACCCTAAACCTAAACCCAAAACTGATATACAGCATCAAAAGCAACCCCAGGCTTGGACCCAAAACGGCGTCGGTGCCTCCTCGAAGATCCCGATGTGCAGGCATGGGAATCGTAGGTGGTGTGTTCTCGTCGGTTTCAAAAATTGGCGGTTGTGGTTTTCCATGTTCCGGGAAGTTTCTATGTGGCAGGCTTTGCTGCGGGAGGAAGGCCAAAAGCGCGATGCTCTCCTCCAGGGCTATACATGACGTGACGCTTGCCATGTGGGATTGCCTTTCACCCAGCAACAGCACTTTTTGGGTCAGTCGGGTTGATGTCCAAGAGGGGCTGAAACGATTGCAGGGTGCAGCGAAGAAATCCAAAAAGATGCCCAAACACTGTGCAAGCAGGACGACTGAGAAAGAGCGTGATGAGCCTGACAACGGAAGCCCTTCCTGCCTTCCCTAGATAAGACTATCCGGTTCTCCTTATG